TCAGGAGAGATGTATACTGGGATAAGAGTGACATAACGTATACGGGGATAAGGGTGGCATAATCAGGAGAGACGTATTTTAGGATAAGGGTGACATAATCAAGAACGTATATTGGGATAAGGGTGGCAAAAATCAACTATATGTTAAAAATGAGATTTTGATCATGTGGAAATTGTTATTGCATCTTCATGGTGCGACGAGTTTGGTTTATCACATCTTTGTGATGTGATGAGTTGGTTTTATTGCATTCTTATTATGTGAGCAAAATGTTTACTGCATCCTTGTGAGCAAAATGTTTACTGCATCCTTGTGATGCAAGGAATGTGTGTTCTCCCATCATTGTGATGCGACAAAGTGCGGTTATCGCATCAGTGTGATACGGCAAAGTGAAGTAATCGCATCAATATGATGCGAGGAAATATATTATTGCATCAATGAGATGCAACAAGTTGATGAGTATGATGCGACAAAAATGTGATCGCATCAATGAGATACGATAAGTTGGTATGTTTTACGTTTGTTGCGATAACTTTGGTATTTCAACAGGTTTGATGCGATAAGATGATGTTGTCTCATCTATATGATGCGACAAAGAGGTTTGTTTCAATGAAAAAACATTGTTTATTTGTTATTAATACAAATATGAGCTTTCAAACAATATTTTGGTGACTTTCACCACGTAATAGTGATCAAAAGGGATTTCTCACTAGACCTTATGGTCTAATCCTCGTTTTATTTTAAAAATATGCATTACAGATAGGGCACATGTGGAGAGTAAGGGAAAGAGAAAGATGTGAAGAAGTTATCATTGCTTTACATATGTGAATTTTGGGAAGATGTTATTATGCATGTACTTGAGAACTTGTTATATTTGCAAGTCATGTACTTGGTATAAATGAAAATTTTGTTGCTACTTTTGTATGTAGCATTTTGTATATAATGGGACCAATGTGTATATTTGTATTTCATGTTATATGAAATATGTGGATTATATGCAAATGTGGAGTGGGGTGTAACATTTATCATCGGCCCAGTAAGTATTTGTGAAGGCATGGAGAGTAATGGACGAATCACGATGTAGTAGCAGACTTTGTGTAGATGTGCCCACTAGGTAGCGTAAGAGTCGTTTGAGAGTTTCCCAATGTTCTTCAGTCGGGTTGTACATGTATTGAGATAACCTGTTCATAGCAAAAGAAATATCTAGTGTGGTTAGAGATAAGTATTAAGTATTGTAGACTTCGCATACTTGCCCTATATTCAGTTGGATTGGCTAAGGGGTTCTGCTATGTAGTATTAGGGTACGATGAGAAGCCATGTGGGTAGGAACAGGTAAGGCTGTAAACGAACCGAACGAACACGAACAGAGGCTTGTTCATGTTCGTTCGTTTAACTTAACCGAACAAACAAACAAACACGAACAGTAAACGAACAAAGATCTTTGTGTTCGTGTTCGTTCGTTTAGAAATCAGATGTGTTCATGTTCGTTCGTTAACATGCTAAACGAACAGCCTAAGTGAACATAAACGAACAGGTCTAAACGAACATAAACGAACATAAACGGACAGGCTAAACGAATATAAACGAACAAGCTTAAACAAACATAAACAAACAGTGAAAAGGTAAAAATTTCAAATAAGACAATGATAATAAAATTTAAATCTAAATAAATTCTAAAAAGTTAAAACTTAAATAAATATTATTTAAATTCAAATTAAATAAATAAAAGATTATATATTAAATTTNGATTATATATTAAATTTAATATATATATATATATATATATATATATATATATATATATATATATATATAAACGAACGAAAGTAAATGACCGAACGAACGAAACTTTTGTTCATGTTCGTTCGTTTAATTAAACAAACAAAAAACAGTGTTCATGTTCGTTCATTTATTAAATAAACGAACATCCCACGAACGGTTAATAAACGGTTCGTTGAACGTTCGGTTCGTTTACAGCCCTAGGAACAGGTTTGGCGGATGCCACGTGAGTACGCGTGAGGTGGTCTTGTATGTATTTCTGTTGGCTAAGAAAAAATTAATGAGGGTGAGGTAAGACTTCTACACCAAGGAAATAAGAAAGTGTGCCAAGATACTTAAGCGAGAAACGACTAGAGAGTTGAGAAATAAAGGGGTTTAGAAGAATGGGTTTATTGATCCAGTGATAATAATATCATCAACATAAACAAGAAGAAAGATGTGATCATTGTTATGGCGTAAAGCAAGAATGGGGTGTCAGAAATAGAATTTTTGAAACCACAACCGAGTAGATAGGATTTGAGTTCATTATACCAAGCTTGTAGAGCTTGTTTGAGACCGTAGAGAGCTTGATGCGGTTTGCATACATGATTAGGATGACTTTGACTAATGAAACCAGATGGTTGAACCATAAAGACATCCTCCACTAGAGAGCCTTAGAGGAAGGCATTGTTAATGTCAACTTGACAAATTGAAGAGAGCAACCATGTATGATAGCTAGAGAGAGAATCATTCAGATTGTGTCAGGCTTATGGGGTTAAAGGTTTCGGTGTAATCAAGATTTGGTCTTTGGTGGAATCCTTTAGCAACTAGACGGTTTTATAACATAAAATTGAAAAAGTTGTTGATGTGACGTAAAATAGAATAAGATGGATGGCCTAATCGATTATGTTAATTGGTAGTGGATGTCATTTTGACAGAGTGAACGATGGGACGAGCGGTTGCAATTCATAAATTCCCGATTTAGTTAGGCCTTGGAGAAGGGGTGCCCTCGTGCGAAGATTCTTCACAAGATAAGAAGTAGGTGAAAATGTAATTGAGGCATTATTATCCTAGCAAAATTTAGAGATTCATATAATATTACGAGAAACAGAAGGCACATGTAATATATGATTAAGATGAAGTTTAGAAGTGGGAGTAAGAAGAGATGTTGAACGGTGTTTGAGATGGCTAGGCCCGAACCATCGCGAATAATGAGTTCCTTTCCACCTAACATCGTAAGAGGAGTGGAGTTCAATGTTGGCAAGATCATGAGTGACATGGTGTGTCGCCCCACTGTCAAGAAGCCAACCACTGAATGAAGTTTCTGAGGCAGCAGCAATATAGGCATGTGGAAAAGAAGAAGAAGAGACTAGAGGATAAAGTGGCGTTTGGTTTGCAGATTCTGGAGAAATCTGAAGGAATTGGAATGTTGAATTCCATTGACCAAATTCCATTCCCTTGTTTGGTTAATTTTTTCACGAAAAAAATCTTCAAAATCTTACAAATTCCACAAATAAAGGAATTTAACATTCCTTAGCAACTACATGGTATTTTGATGGAATGGAATCTCTATCTTCATTATAACAAATATTCCCTTAACCTAATATACTCTAATCTCATAAAACTCAATATGACCTTCGTCGACCACCCCTCGACCAATATTGAACTAAATCACCGCCGATCACCACCACCGACTACCACAGCTGACCACCACCACCAATCTGAACCACCGTCGACTACCACCAATTTGAACCACCACCGACTACCACCAGTTTGAATCACTGGCAACCACCACCACCGACTAACACCAGTCTGAACCACCGTCGATCACCACCACCGCTGACCACCGATCTGAACCACCGTCGATCTGAGCCACCACTGATCTGATTCACCGTCAATCTGAACCACCATCGATAACCGCCATCTGAACCCCCATGGACCATCACTGACCACCACCACCGACTACCACCAATCTGAACCATCGTCGACCACCGCCGACTACCACCGATATCAACCACCGTCGACCACCACCGACTACCACCGATCTAAACCACCATCGACCACCACCGATCTGAACTACCGTCGACCACCACCACTGACTACCACCGATTTGAACCACCGCCGATTTGAGCCACCACTGATCTGATTCACCGACAATCAGAACCACCGCCGATAACCGCAATCTGAACCACCATGGACCACCACCGATCTGAACCACTGTCGATCATCGCCATCTGAACCACCACGGACCACCATCGTTTTGAACCACCAGCAACTACTATCGATCTGAAGCACCGTCGATCTAAACCACCATTGACCATCACCGATATGATCCATCGCCGATCTGAACCACATCTGACCATCTTCACCTGAACCACAACGGACCACCATCGATCTATATCACTGCCAACCACCGACGACTACCATTGATCTGAATCACCGTTGGACATCGCCGACCACCACCGATTTGAACAACCACCGTCGACACCTCCTATCTGAACCACCGCTGACCACCTCCATCTGAACCACTGCGGACGACCATCAATCTGAATCACTGCGGACTATCACCATCTGAACCACTGTGGACCACCACCGATTTGAACCATCGCCGACCACCGTCGATTTAGTAACGTCGTTTGGCTTATGATTATATTTGGGTTGTGTATTTTATATTGTTTTACATATTAAATAATTATTTAATTAAAGTATTTTTAGTTTTAAAAAAAATAAATTTTTCAAAAAAGGGCATTTTGGTCATTTACCAATATTTTATTCCAATTCTAAAGTTACATTCTGTGAACCAAACAGAGAGATTCCAATTACTTAACAGATTCCATTTCAATGTCTGCCAACCAAACAGGTGGTCAAACCTGACAACATTCTATTCCGATTCTTTCAAAGTCAAATTCTTTTAACAGATTCAATTTCATCCAAAAACATTCTGCAAATCAAACGCCACCTAAGAGGAGGGTGATGATAAAATTACATTTGGGAATTGAGTGTGAAAGATAGGGCATTGCAAGACATAGTGTCTAGTGATGCAACACCATTGACAACGATCCTACAATAAGCCTTTTAATATAATACATGGTATTAACTTTTCATATTGTTTTATATATTACTCATCGAATCGATTTATATAGTTTTGATACAAATGCAAGAAAGCTGCCAAAAAGATCGAAACAACCTTGCAGATACCGAAGACAATTTCTTGTAGCCGAAAGGAACAACGATACAAACCAATATCGATGAATCCGAATCAAACATAAGTTGACAAAAGATTGAAACCAATCCTTGACAATGTTATTAGACATTAAAATGTATGAACGTTATTCCCGACAAACACCATGGGACATATCACCAAGGCTATGAGTACCCAAAAATTGAAAACAAGAAAAAAACTACAACAGATTTCAATAATAATAGTAAAAACAGAATTGTTTCCAAATTCTAAATAGAAATCATGATTTGATAATCGATCAACGGGTGTTTTACGATTTGTTGAAGAGGATGGTGGTCTCGGCAATCATCGAAGTAACCACATACGGGTCCATGTTTGAAGCCGGCCTACGGTCCTCAAAGTATCCTTTTCCTTCTTTCTCGGTGTCTCGTCCAACTCGAATCGAAGCACCACGGTTCGCAACCCCCTGCCACAACCGTTTCGAAATCAGATCGAGATTTTAACAGTTAAATGTTTGTATTTTTCAATTTCCTACTAACAGAGACCATAATAATGACTGTTCTTCTATCAGACTCATCCTTCTCTTCATTTCTATTCTCGTTACCTTGAAAATTCCCAAATTTTCATTTCTCTACTCATTATCTTGGATCTTTATAAAACCATATTTTAGGCTAGGTTGGGATCAAAATCTAAAAAATAGGTTGATAGGTTGTGTACGTGGATGAGAGAGAAAATAATTTTTTAATGAAGGATTAGATCGGTAAATTTCACGACTAAATATAGTCTTATCTGTACGTACCCATTTGAACGTGTTGATGTCAGCCGTCTCATGGCGACCGGTGAGCCGGCGCTCATTGCCTTCACCGTAGGCTGCAATGTGCTCTTTGTGTCTCAGACCCAACTTCTCAATTGCCTTCTTAATCACCTCGTATCCGCCTTCTTCCCTCATCGATTTCGTGCTGAAAATATCATGTAACGGTCAAGATTTCAAAAACAACATTTTGTTATCGTTTACGAAGTTAATTTGCTATCAAAATACCTGTAATTGGTGTGAGCTCCTGCACCATTCCAGTCGCCCTGCTCAAAATTCCGGCAATCAGAATGAGCATTGTTTGTTTTTACGCGTATTAATACAATAAAAGTCTTGCATAATGTAAGGTCTCATCGCCCAAAGCACCAGATCGACTCAATAACCACCAAATCAACTTAAAATCATAGTGGAAGTTATTGGTTGTCTACAACTTGGGGCTTATACATGTGACAAATAAACTAGTAAACTTATGAAACTTTACCGGAATAGGCTTGGGGTCGAACGAGACCACGACTCCAGCAATCTCGGTGATCCTCTGTAGAGAAAACACGAAAAATTCAACATCAAGATCGACATTTATCTCAAGAACACGCAAGAAAACAAGCCTTTTTCCAATCTGTCTCTAATATCACCAAATTTTCGGAGTACCTCAAGAATGTAACGAGCAGCCCACAACTCATCACCTGCAGAGATGCCAACCGAAGGTCCTACTTGAAACTCCCACTGCATATCGATTCACAAGTTTTCTCTTATTCATATTCATCAATGAATACGAGTTTTCAAGTTCAAATTCATCAAACCGATACCTGGCCGGGCATGACCTCGCCGTTAATGCCGCTAATGTTGATGCCGGCATATAGACAAGCTTTGTAGTGAGCATCAACGATATCACGGCCAAAAGCCTTATCAGCACCAATACCGCAGTAGTATGGCCCCTAATTTGCATTCAAACATACATTTACCATTAAAACTTGAACAAAATTATGACAAAATGGCGTAAATTTGAAGCGATTTGAGAGCATATACTACAACAAAGTCAGGTTTATAGAACGTCAAAAATGTCAAATAGAATGGTTTATAGGACACAAATTTATAAGACCAAATAATATAAAAATGTTACAATAAGTTTATAGGACTCTTTTGATACCTGAGGTCCAGGGAAGCCTCCTTGAGGCCACCCCAACGGCCAGTTGATACCCTTCTGCAACAAGGTGTATTCTTGCTCGAGTCCATACCTATTACACAAATTCGAAAACTTTAAACATCGAAAATTGATATAAAGATCGAGTTTGTGAAGGGCAAAAATGGAAAAGTACCATGGGACTTCCTTCTCGACTTCAGGGTGGCTGAAGATTTTGGCCGCGGCATGCCTCTTGTTGGTCGGAATTGGCTCACCGGCAGGAGTATAAGCATCGCATATCACCTATACGATACAAAAACAAGGAAATACGAATCAAGAATTACCATATTTATGTAAAATTACACAAGAATTCGAATTAAATCTCGAAATATCTTCTTGTATCTTTTAGAATGGGTTATCATCATAAATAACCACAGATGAAAAAAATTGTTTTACTTTTTTAGCCATCTCCAATCTCTCTCACAAAACAACCAAGAAAACGTAAGTCAACATCACAAGACATTTTTCCTAATTTTCTAACACACCCAGATGAAAAGTGGTCCACCGTAAAAATAAATTAAGACACTGCAACTTGTTTTCTTGGATGATGGCTATAATATAAAGCTTTTTACATGAGGTCGTGATTTAAGGGGTGTTTGGGATTGCTTATTTGAAACAACTTATGCTTTCCTACAAAAATGTTTATCAACTTATTATAAGTTAGAATGATTTAACTTTTTCAAAAACTCCTTATTACCGGTTTGACACTGGTATAAGTTGTTTATCGAAACACTCAAAAGTACTTATTACAGGTGACACATCGAAACAAGTCAATAAGTTGTTTTTATAAGCAATCCCAAACACCCCTTAAGATATAACCCCTTTGCAATATTTCTAAAAAAACATAAATGAAAGCAAAAGGTTCCATCTTTTTGTAACATCATATATACAAGAACTTTCTCTCTCTATATAATGGCTTTTTTAGAGAGAGAATCAAAGGGTATCTATGTATTATTATATTCGTTTGAATACTAATAATAAAAAAAGGAAAAAGAAAAGGTTGAAAATATATATACCAGGATGTTGTTCCCACCCCTGAACGGATCCTTGAAAATAGCTTGAGGGCTGTTTGATTAATGGAGATTATAATTAAAAATAAAAAAAATAATTCAAAAAACCATAAAATTGAAGGCACGAATACCCACTAGATGATAACTTCACTGTCTTCACCAGGGGCTTGACCAGTGCTCGAACCATCGTAGTTCCAGTTTGGAAGCTTCTTGGGATCACTTACTGGTCCAGGAAGAGTCTACAATTAACATAAAAGAAAATCAATTAGAAAATTATGAATAAACCAAAGTGCTTTAGCTCACTAGTATTCGGATTACTGCTACAATCGATCCTCCTAAACGGTCAAGGATTCAAACCATGCATCAGTTGGTTTGTTGTATATAAATATATATAAGAAGGATCAAACAAGAAGTGTAAGAAGGGTCATATAACATGTGATTCTATATGTAATTTTGATGTACTTTCTTCTAATATCATATGTTTTAACACGTCCATATATTGTATACAATATATAGAGAGAGAATACAAGGATATCTATACTATATGTAATTGTAGACTAAAAATCACATGTGACTCAGATTTAGACGACACTCTTACGTCGTGCTCGGCCAAGCGCTTGTGAGCGCCACTATGTTTAGTGGAGCTAAATTAATGCGATTTTTAGTCTAAAATCACATGTAATACAGGTGTTCTCGTCTTCTCTTATTTTAAGCATTTTCTTATTCGAATCCCCACTCTCTCTCTCTCTCTATATATATATATATATGAGATATATATATATATATATATATATATGAGATATATATATATATATACATATATATGAGATATATATATAAGTTTCAAAGCAAATTCAAACTACTTACCCTTGCTTTGCTGCGAAGATCCATGCCAGATCCACCAATCCTGTATACATATTAAGGAAAACGTACAACAAATTTAGAGATCTAAAATGGGCCTATATCAAACAAAACTCCAACATAACAACAGCCACCCAACTATGGTAAATCTTGGGTGCAGAAATCCCTAATTTCTCCACTTTTTTACAGTGGACCAAAAAGTCAACCTTTCAATTTCAATATAGTTTCTAGGATCTAGCATGAAGAACGATAAATCCTAGATCAGAATTCTGTTTTTATTGCTGGCTTCTTCATTATAATCAACCACACACACACACCATGAAGATCATGTTCACACAAACACAAATGAAGATCTATCCGTAAATCAGCCAATAATCAAACAAAATACAAAAACCCACATAACATCAAAACATAAAAACGATTTTAATGGCGGAAAACAGGGGATTCAACATTTAATTTCGTCGATTCGAAACGTAACAGAAAAGCTAAGAAACCCGTCTACCCAGATGAACATCGACAAATCAATCACTAATCGAACAAAATACTAAAACCCAGATAGCATCAAGTCATAAAAGCGATCTTAATGGCGGAAAACAGGGGATTCATCATTCAATGTATGCAACGAGCAGAAATCATGATCTATGTCGATTTGAAACGTAGAGAGAAGTCAAAAAAGAAATAAAAACATCGACCCAAATGAAGAAAGTAGAAACGAACCAGATGTATTCAGCAATGATCTTCTTGGTGGAATCTGTGAGATTCAGATTGATGAGATCATTGAGCAGAGCCATTGGAAAATCTTTCCCACAGTGTTGTATGTAGAGGAGAGAGAGTAAGGGAAAGACGTGAAATGAAGGAGACGAGTTTGCCTTTTTATAGTGCAGCAATCTCCTTGTCCAAAATGTATTTTATTTATCTTCAAAATAAACATTGAATTGGTATTTTTTGTATAAAATTTAAATATCACATTGTTGGCTCCAATTATTTAAGGCAAGAAATTAAAGTAACGCTCTATTTTCATATTCTTATACCTTTTTTTTAATTAACCTAGATATCCAACCTGCTATGCGAGTCGACTAATCTCAAGGTGACCACCTGCTTTGCAGATAGTCCGGAGTCACCGCATTTGATCCTCCGTAGCTACAAAGGGGATTTTTATTCCTCCTTTGATTTGAACGACCTCCAAGTACTTTTGACCTTTGGAGTCAAACTCAAACCAATCAGACACCACTCTATAAGTTTAAATATTTAATCATTTCAAAATAAATTTTGTTACCGTTGATAGAAAAAATAATTTTTAATGGTAGTCTACACGTAAAAAAAATTCGTGTAGTAGTAATGCATATTGGACAGGTTATGATCGGCATCAGGTAACTGGTTGCTGGTCGAAAATGTATAACTGGTATTTATGGCTCGATCCATTTTAAGTCGAAAATGTATAACGTGTTCTAGTTCTTCTTTTTTGTCATAACCTGTTAATTTATCATTCAAAAAACCGTAACTGATTACAGACGATATATGTTGTAATCGGTCCTTAATCAATCTCTCTTTGACTGGATAAAACGTAATTATTCATGCTTCGGATCGAGGGTTTTGACTCATCTTGGGTTTTTCACGTCCACCTCTAGCCACTGTTGTTGTTCGTATGTTTTGAGATTATTTTTATGAAAATATGACAGAAAAAATAATATAAAAATAATGTTACTAAAATTTAGGATGTAATTAATGGTAATATAATAATTTTTTTAATTAATATTAAAAATAGTCTAGTAAATTAATGGTATCGATATCTTGAAATTATTGCTATTGATCAAAGAAAGTAATTTTGGATCGGTAATCTTTATTAAATAAAATAACAAAAAAAAAACTCTTTTTAATATAAAAACAAATAAACAATTAATTATAAATATTATTTAATAGAATTTCTGGTTTTATAGGAAAATAGGTATTTAATGAAATACTAAAAGTTCAATTTATTATATGCAAGTGGGGTGTATTTTTTGTCATGTGATTTTTTTTTTTTTTTTTATTATGAGTTGTTTGAAATTAAATATAAATAATAAATACAAGATTATATATTAAATTCAACTATTTTCATTAATTGCTTAAGAGTTATGAAAGTATATAAACAAACCATTAATTTTGTTGAGGTTTTTAGTCGTAATTTGTGTTTTCATTGATCGTTTCGTTGGTTGACTTCTATTACGTTTAATTGGTTGAATCATTTAATCTTTTTTTTATTTAATATATTTTTATAATGAACTTTAAATCTTTTTATAATATAAGCGGTTTATAAGATTTATATTTTTTTATTTGTTAAAATATGAACTGTTATAATATAAATTATTAATATTAATATTTTAATGAATGTTTAAAATTGAAAAAAAATAATGTTTATAATTTTATTAAATTTAAATTACCTTATAAATAAAAATAACATATTATTTTATACTTTATTATATATAATAAATAATAATTTTAGCCGTTAAATGAAAAATTATTATAACCTTAGCTAATAAAGAATATTTTTATGTTAAATTTATAATAACAAAATATTTAATTAAAATATTTCTAAATTATAATTTATTAAAAGATTATTTTATAAGTTGATTTGGTTTTATTTGGTAAACTAGATGATTAACGGGAAAAATGTTGTTATTTCATAACTTAGTTGATAAATTAATCATATTTGGTAAAAGATAGCTCAAAGCTATATTACAATGTAAAATTACTTAAAATGACATGTTGAAAATTAATTATAAAAAAGAGAGTAGGCATGATTGAAAAAAAACGAAAAAGTCCTAAAAGCTTATTGAAACGTTAATTAAAGCAATGTTTCAAAAAGTTAGTTTATTGCTAACCAAATGAGGCTTTTTCAATAAGTTGTAAAAATAAGGGCTGAGCTATGAAGCCTCCTGAGGGGTGTTTTGGGATATTAGAAAATACAAGGGAAGATTAACCAAAAAACATAAAAAATTTCTCGAAATCAATAAAAAAAACTTAAATAACCCTTGAAACGGTGGAATTCGACTAAAAACATATTGAACGACTTTGCAGGCTTTTGATCCACTTTAAATATGCATATGTTAGGCAAAGATATTGGGTTTATCGCTATATAAACTATTTTATGGTTGCCAAACATGAACTTTGAAAATTTGGTGTTCGCGTTGATGTAAAGAGTAATCAATAAAGATAACGTGAAATTTGAAGAAATGGGGGGAGGGGGGTTGTAATTGCACTGATGTGTGTGGCATCATATATGATTTATTACCGATTAAGTTTACAAGATACTAGTCATTAGTCAATCAAGGATTGATGTACATATAATAACAGGTATGTTTACAGGTAAAATTTTAAAATCTTTTTTCGCATGTTTTTATAACGTAAAGAAACAATAAAATATCAAGAAAGAATTTATGAAGATAATTAATGTCAGGTTATAAAACTTAGGTTAGTCGTTGAAGTCTCATTTTCCAAAATATTTCACTAAACGATGATGGTAATTAATTGTACCATTGACTATTTTCATGTCACTTTCGGGAAGAAAAAAAAAAGTTAGCCTTTAGTAAGGTTACGTCTCAAGACCTCCATTGATGGATGGATGAATGGTTGGTCAACTGGTTTATTTTAAAGCTATGTTTGATATATTAGTTGATAAATTAGTTGTTAGCTGAAAACTAATTGTGTTTAAAATCTAATTGTTGGCTCATAAGCTCTATAGAAAGATCTCTAACTGCTTCCTAATGATTTCTCTAAAATAAAAAAGAAAAAAATAATATGCAAAAAAGTTACATTAAATTTTAGTTTTTTTTGTTTTAAAGGTTCTATTATTAATTATATTATTTATAACACTCTCAAATCTAGAAAGATCAACTAAATTAAAAAATTTGATAGATCAAACAAGAGATAAATCTCTTTCTATAAATCAATACTTGAATTACCATGAATAGAAAAACTAGATTTAGTCATCAACAATAGATAAACTAAGCCTTGCATAAGGACTAGGTCAAGGTCGGATGTTACTAAACCCAATAACAATCGTCATCTCCATATACTGAAAATTCATCGATTAGCTAGATCTTTCTCGTGCCTCTAATTAGCTCTCAATCCAACACAATGTCTCAAGTACCATTCCCCCAAGAACCTGATGTACATACCGACAAAGAAAAAGGTTAGGATTAACCCCTACTGAATTTAAGCAATTTTTATCTTTAATATAAAAATGGTAAAACTAAAAAGACGTTATTTAAATCACAATATCCAAAATGAAATATATTTAGTATAAAAGCACATCCTTTCCAAAGGACCAAAACCTACCATTATTGTGATGAAAACTCATTTATCAAAACGTTCTTTTATTCATGGAACCAAAGTCCAATATTCACCCAAAAGTGAATGAGATAAAATGCCCAAAACATGAACAAGGTTCAATACTCAAACCATGAATAATAAAAAGTACTCGATACTCAACACATCATTGAAAACATGGATAAAACTTAATACCCAAAACAACACCTTTCAGTGACAGGGAAAACCTGATTTCCATGGTTAGTGGCAGAACACAAAAGTAGGTCACCATTCTACGTTATAGAGTTCATCTTGAGGATCAATTGTTTGTGGTTTATAGTTCAAGGCCCACAATGATCTCAGGTATACCCATTCACTAGAAATTACATTATGTGACCAATGGCTAGTATTCGGCTCCCATAAGACTGTACCAAGTTGCCCCTGATGACCCAATGCCTATTTCTAGCTAAATACGGGAATAACCATTCCATTAAATTGACTCTGAAATTACACCATGGGATTAATCATAAATGTTAGACTTCAAGAGCCCACATTATAAGGCCCCCGATGACCCAATGACTATTCATGGCTACAATATGGGAACGACCATCTCATTTTAAATCAATAAAGACCGACGCCTGTGGATCAATTGTATAATTGTATTACAGTCTAAATTACATGACCCAAAATGAATGATCACGCACTCAAATCATGTAATATTTTCAAATAAACATGCTATAATTGCATATAACTCCAAAGCTCGACATAGAACAAATAAACCAGACAAATGTTCCCAAGACTCATCTGAGTCAAACCGAGCCAAAGATGAGTTATGACTATTAAATAAAAGTCGTCAATAAAAACATATTTAATCAATGTTTATGCAAACACATGTTCTGAAGGCATGATTAACTCAAAAACCCATCATTGGTTGAGATAAATCATTTTTTAACTGAAATCATACCATTTATATTTCCAAAAATGTCTTATAACATATCAATATGCATTTTTCAAACTACATACACTACAAATGCATTATCACTAAATAATCCCCATATATAGGATAAATCATCAAATAACTCATATTTATGATTTATTTATCAAAATATCCAAAAGTCCAAGTATATGCATTTTTCAAGATTTATTAACCCAAATTTACTAGATATGAAAACTTCATCAAATACTCAACACATTTGATAAATATCAAGTAAAACACATCAATACTTCAATAAGCATTTTGGCATGTACATAGTTTTCACAAAAACAACTTGAACTCTTCTTGCTAGGTCAGGTTAAACCTAGGTTCCAAATCCATCTCTAGTTTCCAAAATGGTGAAGGCTTCAGATCCATCAACATTCACATCTTGAAACTTTATCTAGGTCACAATCAAAGCTTAGAGATGTACCAAAAGTAACCCCAAACTTAGATTCATAGCAAACCTTAATCAAATCCTCTAATCATCTAAAATATCCAAAATTGGTCAAAACTTCAAAACATGGAAGATACCTCAAAATAAATGCTCTAGGAGATTAAAATGAAAGGGTTTAACAAGAATAAAGGTTTAGAAGGTTAAGATGGACTTACAATTCATTCTCAGGAAGAAGCCCCAAAACTGGGTCAACAATGGTGATGAAGAAGATGAACTCGAATCTTGGATCTAGGCTTGAAATCTTGATCTTTAAGAGCTCTTAAATGCTTGGAGAAGATGAATAAAAGTAGTAGCAAGTACCTAAATCGAGTTTGAATGAGGAAGCTAGGAGGTGGGTATGAGATTTAATGGAAAAGATAAAGATGGTGAAGGGCTTTAATCATAACTAGTGTGGGAACCGCGCAATGAGTAATTTGGTTAAGATCCAAAGATTGTCTATATAAATATATGTTAGTTGTTAATATAATCATCAACAAATAGTATTCAAATAACTCAAAAAAGTCCATAAAATCTCATTAGTGAGATTTTAATATATATATATATATATACACACACATACACACACACACATATATATATATATATATATAGAGAGAGAGAGAGATCTTTGTTTATGAATAAAGTTGTAAAATTAAATAAAATGGGAAATAATAATGACGGGAGTGTGGATAATTTTGTATTGTATGTCTGATTGATGATGAAGTTTAAAAAAAAGAGATGATACCTTTGTCGATTTTTATTAAGAAATAAATAAGTGTACGTCTGAATCACACAGTAACTAATTATATGTACAAAAAAATATGGTAAATAGAAATTTAGTCTATAAATAATATGAAAAAATATTAACCGATCAATACATATAAATTACCATAGAGGATAATTCATTGTTGTAAGACGAATAATGTCTACAAATAACAAAAACAAATACTTTCTCCGTCCGAAAATAAGTGTCTCCATTTCTATTTTAATTTGTCCCAACATCCGAAATTAGATAATTAGAAAATTTAGATGAATATATCTGAAAATTAGTTATAATGATGATTTATATCTGTATAGTTAGATAGTTTATTTGAATTTCTTAAAAACTTATCAAAACTATCCTCACTTATCTTGTCATTTGATATTCTGAATCATCAAAATGGATTTTTGTAAGCGTTTTAAATCAGGTGAGTGCTCATCACTCTCACTTACCGGAAGATTCTCATTTCTTACGCAATAAAGTAATTGAACTGGTAAACACAAGTGTTTAGTAAACGGCCCCTAAATTTCAAGTACCCTTTTAATTTAGTTTTAATTTTAACTGAATTTTTAAATAAAGAGTAACGCTAAATTTAGGGAAATTTTTGTAAAATTTAATTGACTTTATCAAATCGTCAGCCAACCCCACCGTTGACGGCCACCACATCACTGGCCCCTAGGGATAGTGATTTGCCCCGACCCGATGGGGAACCCGATTCACCTGACCTGAACGGGGACGAGAATTCCCCGCTAAAACGGGTCCCGGGACTGCGAATCCCCAGTAGGGGGATGTTACTCAAACCGGGGCGGGGGCCGGGTGATGTTACTTAAACCGGGGCCGGGGATCCCCAGTAGAATAAAACGAAAGATATTTTTAATGGGGTTTGACCGGGGATTGATAGAGGTTTGACCGGAACGGGATGTTAATCACCGTACCAGCCGGGGATCGGGGCCGGGGCTGGGGGATGTTGCTACAAACCGGGGCCGAGGATTACAAAACCTGCCCCATCCCCACCCTGCTGCCATGCCCACTGACCCCTCCCTGCTGCGACCACCATCTCCTACTTTCCTTTGTTTTAATTTTTAAATATTTTTTTAAGATAACTACAAGGGTGGTGCCTGATTGGTTTGAGCTTGACTCCAAAAGTCAAAAGTACCAGAAGGTCCCAGGTTCAAATCCAAGGAGGAATAAAAATTCCCTTGTGGCTACGGAGGTTCAAATGCGGTGACTCCGAGGTATCTGCAAAGCAGGTGGTTGCCCTGAGATTAGTCGGCTCGCATAGCGGGTTGGATATCCAGGTTAATAAAAAAAAAGATGCATTTGATTAAAGGTATAGCAATCACTATTCATTAATGTGATTGAATATAAAAGAAATCGTTTAATTTTATATAATATAATGAGTTCATTCTCCCAAACATGCACAATTAAGCAATTCCAAGTTTTGCTTATATATATAAGTTAAATTTATAGGATTATATTTTTTATTAATATTGGATTCATTAAATAAAATGTTTGAAGTAATTAAAAAATGTAAGGCAAATATAAATTATATTTGTTGGTGTATTTATGCTGTATAAATAAAAACAATATAAAATGATAAAAAATATGAGAGGTTAAATAAAAAATTAAAACTCATTTAATGAAAAACTTTTTATTTAAAAGAAATTCAAAATTATGAAAAATAAATAATAAAAAAGGGAATGGAGGCTTTTTATTGTGCCACCTAACCAATCCAAGTTTTGCTTATATCTATACTATTTCATATATAGAGCTTAGTTCAAAAATATTAACTAAGAAATTTGTGTTAACTATACTAATTAAGCCTAATCAATCATATTCCATCTTTACTTTATGTTCAAATGTAACTCATATATTAAATACAAGGGTAATTAGATAATTTGATCTTTATGTAACTCCTTAATAATTAATTGAGAGTTACAAATCTTAAAGATCTCACTAATTGATCATAATGTAATTCTGAATTTTATCTTCATACGTGTTCATGATCGTAATTTTCAAGTGATGTTCTACATATAATGATATTGTTTTTGTAAGTGTAAAAGATTTCCGTATCGTCCGAGTAATATGGATAATTCTATTGTAAAACATATTGACAACAATAGAATGAGAAAGTTAAAATCGTTTACGACTATGGTCGGAATTCGAATTCCAATAATGAAGAAGATGATCAAAGCGTTCCTATTGGTAAGTGATTAGTATGACATTTTATTTTGTTTAAATGAACACATATCAAAGACAATAGATGTTCATATCGATACATATGCACAATCACTTCACATGAATATGAGCAATATATGTGATTCATGTGAACACAAGCTTCGTAGGTGTTCATGTACATACAATAGAGTTGGCTTCTGAATATACATAAGATGTTCATACGGTTTACATGTTGTTCTTATGTCTAATCTTTTTTGTTTGATGTGTTTTGAGGATATACACAAGTTGTTCATATGTCTGACAACTCGTGTATCAAAGATAGATTATTTTTTTACCTAAATACCCTTTGATATTTTGTTCACATATGTTAATTGAAAATATTAATTTAATAATTAATTTTTAAATATCATTAAATTACAACCGTTTATTATTCAAATTAACGGCCAAGATCGGTTAACAAAGTTAACACGATAATATTGGTTAACATTTAAACCAACCCCTATATATATATATATATATATATATATTCTTAGCTCTTGATTTCACAAAACTCTTGAAGAAATCGATTGGGTGAAATGGAGATGCTTGGAACAAGTCTAATTGAGAGAGAAATGAGAAATAAGGTTAATAATGGAAGGCAAATCGGTTTTATTGAGGAAAAAACATGGCACGTGACCTCCACCCTTCCAACCCCAAATCTGCCCAACTTTCACGGCCGAGGAGTTTTTTTCACTGCCAAGGAATTTTCTTCATAGTTAAGGAATTTTCTTCACAGTCGGGGAGTTCTTAAATTTAATTGTTTGATCCTTTCTTGTCTATTTTCATACCCAGACATAAACAAACTTCAAAATACTTAATAAACTCATTCTAAGGATGAAAATAAACATAAAACCTAGGATTTCATTGACCGAAAAGAATCTAGGTCTTACGTTATTAAAAATAAATAAATGACTCATTTAATACATAACAATTATTTTTATAAAATAATAAATTTGTCTTTTTCTCTCTTTCCTCTCTCCTCTAAAATAAGAACATATTGGAAAAAAGAATTTTAATAAGCCATCTAAAGTAGTTTTTTAAAAAAAAAAAAAAAAAAACCTAGCTTATGGCTTAACTACAAAATGAGATTTTTTTAATAAGCTCCAAAAAATAAGTTCACTTATGATTATCAAACATGGCCTAAATATGAAATGTAAAGTGAGTACAACTATATATCACTTAGGAGAGAAAGTAGGGTCCCCATCTGTTGGTTAATGTTGATCGAGGCCAAACGTGAGCTACGATCATTATAGTTAGTTGACTTTTGCTTGTGAATCGTGCAATTTTAGTTGCTTTCATTAATTCTGGTCAAAATCGAGCGTGTCAACTTGTATGGCGCTTGAAGACGTACGTTGAGAACGGTGGTGGCACGGGCCAAAGAGATGGCTCGTATGTCTTGCTTCGTTTTGATTTAAAGTTTACAATATTGCAACTTGGTCCTTGAGAGTTTTACACTTTCAACTCTTGTCGTTATAGTTAGATTGGTTTGATTTATCAGTTTTTTGATTGTATAAATTATTACGATATATAATTAAAAAACCATAATATAGAAATAATAATAATCTATTTACCTTGTTACAAAATCAATATCTATTTTCCAAATAATTCTCAAAATTTGAATTTTACCTTTGGTCGGAATTTTAATTCACCAATTTAAGTATAAAGTAATTATATATATTTATTTTGAGATTAAAAAAATATTTTTTATATTATTCTTATAACACATTTTACTCGTTTGTGTTTAGCTAAAAAAGAATAATAATTACTCCATTTGAAAATACCAACTCTTTCAAAATATAATAACTACACCTACCACTTTGTTAAATAAAATGTGCAAATTGTTATGCATGAAGTACGGATCACTTTTTGTTACTGCAGTCTACTTTTTTTTTAAAAGTAAATTAGGTACGGAAAATACGAGATCCAAGCAGATAACCGACACGTGTCAGGATGCATGGGACTACTTTCTTGTGCGAAGTATCCAATTGAATCTCCCAAACCCTACACAGTCTCCAAAGATTAGGTAGAGATAAGATTCCCCCTATTTGAATATTCCGTATCTCTTTTTTTTTCTATTCCTTTTACATTTTCTTTTTGACCTTATCAATATAAAAGCATTTTTCTTTTTCATATGGTTTGAATTGAACAAACTTTTATTCTAAAAAGTTAATAATATCTCTATCAAAGAATTCAGTATATTTTATTGAAAAATAAGGTGTGACAATAAGATATATGCAGACATATCTTCTACCTTAAAAAGCAAAGATATTAATGTGTTGTTTGGTAGTTACTGAATGGTTTGATGTATAATGATTAAGAGATTCTCATGTTATAATGCAAA